CAGCCTTGCCTGGGACCTCGCTTTAAAGTGCCAGTTGGGTCATGGTCGCAAGTGGCCAAAACCACGAGCGATGGTGGAAAGACACCGAGGGCGTGAGCAGCTGCGCCCCCCGGGAAGGGCCTGCTCTCCGCGGCAGCCGGCGACCTTCCGGGGGGCGCTCTGCTGGGCCCTGCCTCCCGGACCCCTGCGGGCCGCCTGCTTCTGCGCTTGCCGGCTCGCTCTGCTCCGGCCGTGGAGATGCTTCTCAGCCCCAGGTAGGGCCTCAAGCTCGCGGGCAGCTGCGTCCCTGTCCGGCCTCTACAGCCAGGGCCGCCTGGCCCCCGGCTCCTACCTGTCCCTCGGCCCGGCTGGCCGGCGCGGGATTCCTGGCTGCCGCTCTCCTTGGCTTCTCCCGGGCTCCTGCTGCGGCCATTCAAGCGTCTCTTACAGTCTGAGTAACCGGGGGCAGCCTCTGGTTTTCGCCAGCCCCCCACTACCACCCCAGGGCATCGAGACTGCTATGCGCCCATTTTCGTGCTCAAAATGCTTTGCTTTTCAAAGGTAAATAACTGTGGAGTGGTTTCTTCACTTTCTTCTCTGTGTTTGGGCTTTATGCTCCTGTGTGATAACCTTTGGGTAAAAGTTGCTTCATTAAGATGCAAACTGATTTTCTCCGAGGCGCTTAGGCATCTCAGTGCTCTTGTCCCTGGGCTGCTCGAGGGGAGACGAACTGTAGCATCTGATGCTCGTCACTGGAATTTGTGTGGCTCTTCTCGGCCTTGTGGTCTTGGGGTGTCCTTCAGTCTCTGCAGGGACAGGGTCATCTTAGCTCTGTCTGGCAGGTGGGGTACCACGGTAGTGGGAGACTGATCCCCGCACCCGCAGGCCCCAAGGTAACAGCTGCTCTTGTGAGATCTCATTACCAACTTTCATTTCATCTTAAATGGCTAAAATAAGTCAATAACAGCAGGGCTCAGAAAAATGCACACTGCTACCGAGTAATTTTCCTAAGTGTAAAGCACCAGTAAGCGGTTTAATTGTGGATTCTTACATGAGCACGTCCTGGAATGTTTTGAGGTTTGGCGTTCTGCATTTGACGACAGGGCTTGGCAGGCTGTCTCTCAGGGCCAGCCTCACGTGCGACCAGCCAGTTGGTGCTGGTGTCCCCTCACCATGGCTGGGTGCCGTGGTCACCTCTGCTGCTATGATGCCCCGGTGCCACCTGGCCGCCCCGTCCCCGGCTGTGGGTCTGCCTGTCCCACACCACCTCTGCTGAGCATTTCTCCGGTGGCGATGTGGGGGCTCCCCGGGCCTGGGCTTTTGTGGTACACACTCTGCTCCCCCAGGCTTCCGAAGACGGGACTCGCTGGGGCCCCGCCGCAGAGCAGGGCTGGTTTCTGAGAGGCTGTTCCCATGGGGGCTATCTTTGCCAAGCCGGCAGGGGCTGTGCTCGGCCTGTGGTGTTAGCATACCCGAGAAAACAGGGTTTGCGCAACTCAAAGTCTGTGTTGCTCGAAAAAGCACATACACCAGGTATAATGTGCTTACTTAGCGTTGTTTCCACTGGGAGCACTTGTCACTGCTGTGTCCTTTGAGTATTCGCCATAGCTAGATGCTGGCCTTAAGTAACAGCTTTATGGGCCTGTAATCGGCGAAGCCTGAAACTCCCTTGTGCTTGAGCCTCCCGCGGCCGTGCTGTCTGACTCTAGCGCATCCCCTCTGTCTTAGAGGGGCCTCGGTGCGGGTGGCAGACCCCGGCGCCTCGGCACGTCCTGTCTCTGGCTGCGCCTGTTGTGGGCGCCCATGCCATGGAGTGGCCGGGGCCTGTCGTGTGTGGCTTCTTCCACCTGCCATAGCACTGCAAGGCTGGTCGGTGTGCGGGGTCATGCCGGCCTTTTTCAGGGCTGCGTAGTGCTCCTTGCAGAGGCAGGCTGTGCTCGTTTATCAGCCTGGGCTGCCTCCACCTTTGGCTGTTAGAACGAGCACAGCGATCGGCGTGAGAGGTTTTTGTGTGAATATGTGGTTTTAATCTTGGGTGCATATTAGGAGTAGCTAGGTTTTTTTAAAATACATATGGAAAGATTTTCTTGACTGTTACAAAGACATATTTCTTTTTCCTGAGAACTGTTAGTAAACCACATTTAAGTTTTTGAAAGGCAAAGAGGTTATAATTATAACATTTAGATAGTTTTAGCCAAATAATGTCAGTGATTAATTAGAAAGTGACCCGATTCTTTTGGTTTCATCCTGTAAGGATTAACTTTGCACATCAGATAGTTTCTAAAATTGGCTAGCTGGGTTGTTGTCAAATAATGGGGGACATACTGTAAACGGGCATTATTGTCAAACTTGTCTTTTCTTTTTTCTTTTGAAGCATTTGGAGTGGCTCAGAATACACCGTTTGGAGCCAACAAAGCTGAAATCTTGCTCTGGTATTGATCGGGCCCGTGGCCTTGGGCAGGTTACCAGTGTTGCTAGGGCAGTGGGGTCTCCCCAGGGCTGGCTGGAGCTGTGGGGGCGTCGCAGGCCAGGGCTGATCAGCGGGGTATGCTTTCAGTTAGTGCTGGGGGCTCTCCCCCCAGAACAGGGAGCATTAAATGTGACTGGGCCCCAGCAGAGCACCCTCAGCAGGAGATTTGGCTTGCGGCCACCCTCCCCCTCCGCCAGCCGCTCAGCCTGGCCCTGACGAGTTCTTCGTGTACCGTCTTTCCTGCCCACCGAGCGTCTCATCCAGAGCAGTGTTAGGTTGGCAGAAAGGGGGAGCAGACCGTGCAGGGCCACACGCCACACCCCAGGCCCCGCCCCCGCAGCGTGCAGAGGCCCTCGCTGCCGCCGCCACACGTTCGTGGCTACTTGCCAGGACCCTGGGCCAGCCTTCGCGTTGTTCCTTATGTGGGGTTTTGACAAATGCGGTCATTTTTTGAAATGTTATTTATACAGACAAGAACTGGGGTTCAGACCAGAGGAACGGGGGTCAGAGGACTCCCCAAAGACAGTGGGGAGCAGAGCAGGCGGGGCCTGAAGCCTACTGCTGAGGGGAGCAATGGGGTGACCAGGAAGGGGTCTACTGCGCCCTGCGGGTCACTCCCAGGAGGGGTCACACTCCTGCAGGGGCTGGGACAGCCTCATCTTGCTGTACTTTACCCCTGCTCCCCAGGGAGGCCTGTAAGCTGCAACTGTTCCCCGCCTCACGGAGACTCCGGGTGCGAGCTGCCTTCCCCCTGCCAGTCCTGCCAGCCCTGCCAGCCCCCACAGCTTCCCGTCCGGAGCTTCCTTTCGGCTGCTTTCCAAGCAGCACGTGCTCAGGGGTCCTCGTGCTGGACTGCAGCCTCATTTCTTTTGTCGCTGAGCAGCAGTGTTCATTGGCTGCAGGGGACCGGTGTGTCTGTCTCCCCCAAAAGGCTCCGCTGGCGGGGAAGGGGGTGAAGGGGCCGGGCAAGCGGCTGCATCTCCAGGGCTCACTGAACTGGCGCCCGGCTCGCACCGCACCCCGCCCTGACTCCCTCCTAGAGCCTTTTTTATGGCCTGACTTTAAAAAAAAATTATTTATTTGTGCACACAGAACTGGGGTACAGGCCAGAGGTACAGGGTCAGTGAGAGGCTTCACCAGAGACGGAGCCGGGAGCAGAACAGACCCACGGACGAAGTGCATTGCTGAGGGGGAAGCGGGGGACAGGAGCGGTCTGCTGCACCCCGTGGGTCAGCTCCAGGGCGGGGATCGAGTGGTGGCTGCGCCGGCTTGCAGGGCTGCGACTTTACCCATTGCGCCCATGGCATGACTTTGTAGGCCCCGCCACCCTGGAGCTGTGCGTCCTGTCTGCTCCAGGCCCTCGCGCCACACGGCTGTCTCCGGGGGGGCCCTCCTTCCCGTGGCTGTGCCCCTGTGCACCTTGCGTGCCGCTCGGCTTTGCCCGCTGCCCCGGCCCCCGGCACGCGTGCTCTTGGCTGTCCTCAGATGTCCTCGCGGCCTGAGACCTGCTGATGCAGAGAAGATTCGTCACTCCCTGAGCCTGGGCCTTCTCCAGAACAACAGAGTCCAGTGGGCATTTAACATCGTCTCAGTAGAGTCCACTGCTCTTGCCCAGCGTGCGCCAGTGGACGGGCCAGCAGGGCGTGCGCTCCCTGCGGGGCTCCTGCCTGCACTGGTGTTTCCCAGAGGGGCCCTCCTGCCTCCGCTAGCGTAGGGCCGTCACCTGCCGCGGACAGTGGGAGGGAGGAGCCGGGAGGGGGGCAGGGAGGGGCTTGCGGTGGTTGTGTGTGTCGCTGATTATTTGATTCCAGTTGGTTTTCTCCCCGTGGCTCCGTCCTGGCAAGTAGGTCGGGCTGGCGCGCTGTCCCGAGCACAAGGCCTGCCTCTGCGCGCTGTGGTGCTTGTCAGGCCTCTGTGGAAGCTTCAGACACACCCGGTGGCCCGAGAGCCTGGGGATCCCACTGCTCCCCAGGGGCGTCGCTGGGTGCAGTGCCTGGTGTTGGGGTGCAGCGTGTACCGGCAAGGAGGTGTCTCAGGCAGCATGTGGCACCCTGGGCAGATAGGGGCTCCCTGCAGTGCGCTGGGCTGAGGGGACGGTCCAGGGAAGGCGTGACCGGGCCTCTGTCACGGTGTTGTCTGTGGCCGCACAGCCGGAGCCCTGGGTTGTTGTGGCTGTGGGGACAGCTCTTAGCTCCCGGCAGCGCCGGGGTGTCCTCCCTTTCCCCCCTCCCCCGGACGCTGGCAGGGCCAAGGCACTGCGGCTTCATAGTGCCCGGGTCTGGCGAGAGCAGGAGTGCTGAGGAGGTGGCGCGGGGCGGGGTGGCGCCCGCAGCCAGCAGCGGTGACCGGCTGGGGCTCTTCTCCCCGGAGGAGGACTTTGCGGAGGCAGGAGGGCCTGGTCGGCGCAGGCTGCGGGCTGGAGCTGAGGGCCACACCGCGAGGAGAGACGGCGTGCGACCTGGGGCCTCGGCTCTCGGACACGTCCGGCCCGCCTCGCAGGGCAGCCGGCCCCTGGGCGCCTGTCCAGGGTGCTGTGCTGCTGCCGCCTGGGGTCCTGCGCCCGGCACACCCGGCCCGCACGCACCCACGGGTGGCCAGATGGGTGGCGCAGGGCGCGGCCCGAGGGGACGGCGCTGGCAGAGCCGGCAGCGGCTGGGAAAGGCCGCGCACGGTGGGAGAGACCGTGGGCCAGTGAGAGACTGTGGGCCAGGGAGCTTCTGGCGCCCGAAGCCCGGCTGGGAGGAGCATGAGCGCTGCGGGCACCGGCGCCCGCTGGTCCCTCTGGGCCCGTTCGCCCTGGAGCCATTTTTACCCGAATTTGGTCAATTCTAGGTCATGAACTTCGGTGTCTAAAGCCTCTAATTCAGAACAGAAATCCCTCCGCCGGGGCCTGGACCAGCTTGCCAGGAAGGTGTCCAGGGAGGCGGCCGGGGCAGGAGTGGGCCAGCGGGCGAGGGCGGGAGATGGCCGCTGTGGGCGCGGCGGGCGTCCGCCTGGAGGCTGGGGCGGCCCTTGGCCCTCATGAGGTGGGTCAGGCGGCCTTCTGTGGAGGCCCCGGTGCCCGGAATGGGGGGAGCGAGGTTCCCGCTCCCAGACGTGCTGAGGCGCGCTGGGACCGCTGGGGCCGGAGGCTGGGGGGTGTTCGTGGGGGCGGCGGCCAGGGCTCCGCCCAGAGTGTGCTCTGTTCAAAGAGGTTTCAAATGTCTGAAAACTTAGGACACTTCTATGAGAAACAGTTCTAGGGACAAACTATTTAGTAGATGACCTAAATTTTGACTGAGAGAATCTGGTGTTTGTAGGAAGGGTTGTAGGGTGGGGGGTATGGGGGTGTGTGGGTGTGTGGGGGTATGTGTTTGGGGATATGTGGGGGGTGGTATGGTGTGTATCTGGGGGGTGTGGGTGTGGTATGTATCTGTGGGGGTGTGTATGTGGGTATATGATATGGGAGTATGGGGTGTGTCTGTGGGGGTGAGTGGTGTGTGTAGGGTGCGGTGTGTGTCTGGGGGGGTGTAGGGGGTGCTGTGTGTCTGTGGGGGGTGTATGTGGGTATGTGATATGGGGGTGGGGGGGGTGTGGTGGGGAAGTATGTGGGTCCAGCCGCAGCTTCTCGCCCGCTGCTGTCTGGCCTGGGCTTTTCCCACAGCTTGGCCTCTGTAGTGGCGTGGTGGCCTGTGTTCCGGTCAGTCCAGGTCCTGTACTCTTCAGGTGGACGCCTGGGTTGGGGTTGCTGGGTCACGTGCAGGTCCACTGCAGTCCCCACCCTGGCGCCCGGGGCTGGACCAGTGACCATTCCCACGCACACATGCTTTCCACACAGCCTCTCCCACCTCTGCGCTGACCCTTGGTCTCTCTCGTACTGTGGCAGCCTCGCGCTGCAGCCTGGTCTGAGTGAGCGTAGTGGTGATGGGCACCGCTTGCCATGCCACTGGCCAGGGTGTGTCTCCTTTGGAGGGTCTGCCGCGCTCTCCTGCCCACTCCCGTCTCCTTTTATTGAATTGCACAAGCTCTTTATATTTGATGGACATCAGCCCTCTGACAAGTTAGTCGTATTTCAGTTTTTTAATTAATAATTTATCTTATTTATTTTTAATTTATTTTTCAGTTTTTTAATTTATGTATCTATTTGCATAGAAGTCAGTGTAGGCAAGAAATGTAGGGGTGAGAGGACTCCCCAGAGACAGAGTAGGGGGCAGAACAGGCGGGTCCACTGAGACGCACTGCTGAGGGGCAGCCGGGGGCGGGGGTCCGTGCGCCCTGTGGCACTCCCCGGCCAGGGAACTCAGGCTGCAGAGGTGACAGTGCTGAGACTTCACCCCTAGGCCACAGGGGGCCCCAATAGGATATATTTGAAGAATGAAAAAAAAAATACTGGAGAATTTCTTTCTCTTTTTTTCTAAATGCATCACAATGTAGTTTTACGTTTAAGGGTCATTTGCATTTATTTCATTATACCATTTCCCTCGCGAATTTTAAGACATTACTAGATTTTTGGTCATTTTCTTACTTGTTTTTATGAATCCTTTATGTACTGAGGAGACTAACTTTTTATCTGTAACATGAGTAGTGATTGCCCCATTTCGGCTTTTAATTTGTGAAAGACTTTTACGTTCTTATGATTACTTGGAGCTCTCGGCCTGTGTCCGGCTCTGTCCTGAGTCGTAGCCGGAAAGGCCTGTGCGGCGTGGCCCCGGCGCCGGGCGGCGCGCACACCAGGTCTGCGCTGCTCCCGTGGCACTGCTGACACCGCTGTCCTGCGTCCTCTCTCCCGCCTGGACGCTGGGCCGCCTCGCCGTCGCCGTCACCGTCACCGAGCCGCAGCTCTGGGCCCCGCCTCTCCGCCTGGGGAGCTCTCCGCCTCCCTGCCCCCGGCGGGGCTTTGGCGGCCCCTGTCTCCAGAAGGCGACGGCCGGGCTCTCCCTGCGCCGACGTGACCGCGGTGCTCAGTCTCACCTTCGTCTCCTCTCTTGCAGATGATATTGACCGTGTTCTTGAGCAACAACGAACAGATTTTAACAGAAGTCCCTATAACACCGGAAACGACATGCCGGGACGTGGTAGAATTCTGCAAGGAGCCGGGAGAAGGCGGCTGCCACTTGGCCGAAGTGTGGCGGGGAAATGGTAGGTGTCGCCGGCCAGCACCGCTGGGCGTGGGACTGGGCGCCTCGCAAATGCACGGTGTCGCCTTGGTTACCTGTGGTGAGAATGGGGAGTTAGACCCCGGCTCCCTGGGAGAGTGGTCGCCGAGGCCCCCGTAGGTGGGCGCCTGGCCGAGGCTTGGTGCCGCGGGACCACGCCGGCGGGCAGAGGCGGGCCTGTCCTCTGGGCTGCTGCCGCCTGCCTGGGTTCTGGCCTGGGACCGAGCGGTGTCTGTCTTCCCTTCCCCTGTGGGCACGTCCCGGGGCAGGAGTGCCCGTCTGCTGTGGGGGCTGGACCGCCTTGATGTCTGGCCTGCCCAGGTCCCCAGGGGCGCCGCCCACCTTTGGGGAAATGCCCTGGGCCTTTGGCTTGTCCTTGCCGTGAAGCTGTGGGGGTGCGGTGGGCTCTGGGTGCACATCCCATGGGGTGCTGTGGGCCTGCCAGAGCCCCGCAGGTTTCGCCACACCTGACCATGGTGTCCAGGCCCCGAGGGCACTCTGATGCCTGCTGGCCAGCTTCTGCTGGGCGTGAAGGCGGGTCCTGTGTCACCAGCCTGTGGTAGCCCCCGGGGCCGCGTGGGCTGTCAAGCGGCTCTGCTTTTTTCCCTCGGCCGTGTGGCGCCAGGTCCTCGCCCGCCTCCCTCTCCCAGTCGTTCTCCCCCAGCCCGGAAGGGGAGATGGCGTTTGCGAAAGTGTTCCGGCCCCTGTGGCCTGGTTGCCACGCTGGTGCCATCCTCCCCGCAGCCCAGATATAAGCCCAGCCCCGGCCACGGGAAGGCTGCCCGGCAAGTGGTCCCAGAGGTGGGGGCGGCCTCCCGAAACAGCCCGGTGCCAGCCCTGCCAGGCCGAACGGATGGCACCCCTGGCCGCACGCCCCTTGACCCTGGCTCTCCGAGGATGTGCCCGCTGCCCCTGTGCCCGTCCCAGGCCAGGCCCATAGCCTAGACACAGCCTTCCTCTCTCAGGTGGCCTTTCCCAAGGCTGGGTCCCGTCCGTTGGCTCCCCGTCCCCCAGCATGGCCCAGCTGCTGCTCGGAGCAGGCCTCAGGAAAGCCCAGCCGCTGAGGGGGCCTGTGGGCTCCTAGGGAGGGCAGGAAAGGAGTGCGGGAGTGCTGAGGGCCTCTTGGGTCTGCTTGCTGGCACCTCTGCACCGCGCCTGGTGCCCACTTTTCAAGTTTGGGGAAGGGTGGTGAGAGCGGCTGAGGCTGCGACCAGGGCTGCTCTCACCACACTTCACGGCCAGCTGTGCCAGACTGTTCGGGACGCTGAAGGCCAGAGGCCTGAGGCCCTGGCATGGGCTGTGCAGCGCCCCAGCCTCTCGCCCCAGGATGCCATGTGTGGGCGAGGTCCCAGCCCCTGCCCGTAGGCGCCACCCTCCCAGGAGCCTTTCTCCAAGATACCCTGCGGCTGCCACCGTGGCCAGGGCCGGCTCCTGCCCACAGTCCCCGGCAGCGCTGGTGCCTGCTCCCGTGAGGCCCGTGGGGGCTCCCGCGCCCCTTTCATATGGAGGCCAATCTCGGGGCTCTCATTGGCTTCTGAGGCGCCTCCCTCAGGCTCTGGTCGGTGCA